ATTGTCTAGTGAAAGAGCTTTAACATGATGCAAGAAAATGCAATCCATTTTGGTTCGTCGAAAGTGCTTATAATATATTTATATTCGACTCTAAATTTGATAAGAACAGGTAAAGAGCAGTCAATAATTGTACTTTTGTAATCCTCTAAACTGTTTTAATGGCCATGAAAAAACAGCACCTCACCCATCTGATTTTAAACCGGATTTACATTGATCTCAGGGACTACCCATTTTTGGAGGAATTTTTTTTTTATCAACAACAAAAAAATCAGGGGAAAAAAAATAAGAAAACCAATCGGGAATTTCTCAGGACTGATTTCAAGGAATAATCCTGCCCAGGTACCTCTGGAACACTTAGGGGAGAGTGGCAATTTTGTTGATTAACGACTTTGCAAAAGATGGGATTCGAACCTTAAACCCTCGAGATTGAGAAGTCAAGTGAATAAACCACTATACCACAACACCTCCACAGAACCACTATGAATCATGCAATGTCAGCATACAATTTACATAGTTTAAGAATTGTCACCCAGAGCCATCTATACACAGAGTTTGGCCAACCCGGTTCGAGTTGGTCACAATATGACGACCACTGCTTTGTTTGGCAAGCACAAAACAAAAGAATATACGCCATATTGTGACCCACTGAAACCAAGTTGGCCAAACTCTGTGTATAGATGGCTGTGTTGTCACCAATCTGCTTACATTTGTAAGGAGTTGTTCTAGCCAATCATAGCCTGTATCTTTACTTGCTGCTACCACTTCAATGATGTTCAGAGCTCTCTGAAGCAGCAGGTTCTTGTTCTGATTTGGCATCGGGGTGAACCACATCTTCTGAAACGTCTCGTTGACCAATTTCTGCAGATAACAAAAACAGAACATTTTATCTAAAATAAATTTATTATCATATTAGATTGATGTATTTCTCTTGTAACAAGAAATTGGTTTGAAATCTTCTGAAACTAATTTCTGCTGATAATTCAAACATCAAAATCAAGTAAAACATCAGATCTCGTAGGAATATTTCTTATGTAATTAGCATATTTTATGTATTTCTCTGGTAACAAGAAATTGGTTTGAAATGTTCTGAAACGGGCCGTTCACTCATTTCTGCTGATAATTAAAACACAAAATCAAGTACAGATCTCGTAGGAATATTTCTTATGTAATAATAATTTAATTGGTGTTCAATGAAGGGTATGATATGAATTACTTTTGTATCTCACCAGTGTAAGAATATTTCATTGGTGTATTTTTCTCTCAATTCAAATCTAATTAGTGTCCAATACAAAGTAATTTCAAGACATATTTTAAAAAAAAATTGTTTTAACGGAGGAGAAACTACACAATCTGTATTATACAACATGGAAAACACAAGACTCCTTCACATCAGCCGCAGTAATCCACCACAGTTTTTGTGTACTAAATAAGTGGCAAGAGGGGATTAAATAGGTAGCTTCGTGCAACAAAGGTCCCAATAGTAAGCTGTCATAGTATTTTGTGGTATGTGAACAAGGCTGAAGAGGATGTCCTTGTTTTAGGTCAAGAAGGCCTAAAGAATCTTGCTTTGACAGGGAAAATCGTGGGAAGGAGGAGTAGGGGAAGAAGGAGGATAGTTTGGATGGACAGCCTGGAGAAAAAGAGAGAGGAGAGAAAGAGCTGGAAGTGGTACTAATAGAGAAGGCTAGGAGCCGAGGGTTGTGGAACAGCATGATCGCCAAAGTGGCTCGATATGGCACTGAGAGAGAGAGAGAGACTTGTTCCTACCTTGATACCCTCCTCATCGTTGACCCTCCTGATGATGCGGACGCAGATCTCTGGAATCTTGGAGAATTCAGGTTGATCAATGCAAATATCCCTGAGAGTCTTGATCACCCGTTTTCGCACGCTGATTCCAGTGTCCTGTTCGTGGGATGAGAGTACGGATTCAAGGAGGTTAGCTAATACAGAGGTTCCACTTGATATTACAGAACAGAATATAGCTAGAGTATTCAGAAAAGCATATCAAATTTTGTCCAGGATTACAAAATAATGTTCTGGGCCCCCGTCTTATAAATAGTTGCTCTTGATCCAAATCAATCGCAAGTCCTCCAATCAATCTCAAGTCCTCCAATCAATCGCAAGTTCGCAGTCTCCTATCTTCTGTGTACATAGTTGAGATTGAAATCAATCGCTAATAAGTTGCATCAATATCAACTCTCTATAATAGTCAAATGATTGATATGTGTTAGGAACTGTGAGGAAGTAATTACAGTAAAACCTGTCTCTAAAGACCACTCAAGGGAGATAAAAAATGTGGTCTTTCTATACAGGGGGTCACTAAAGCAGGTTTGACTGTAGTTTCATGTAGCACATAAGAACCGGGCTACCACCATTACTACTTCTGCTACTGCTAACTTACCAATATTCTTTCGATGAGCATTTCATAGTACTGATCTGTAAGCTCAGGCTGCATCAACACGAACCTTCCTACCAACTCCACTGCTGCTTCCCTCACACTGGTTGACTGATCCATAAACCGACAATGAACCGTCTTCTGCACATCAGCCTAGAAACACACATATGAAGAGAAAATTACATAATAATAAGAAGAAGAAGAAGAAGAAGAAGAATGAAAAGAGCTTACATTGCGCATAATAATATGTAGAATTCTCTATCCGCTTTACATTTTTATTAAAAAAAATAATACATTAACGTACATTGAATCAGAACATAGAATACATGGATATATATAAGCAATTCAACCAGATATGATAGATATTTGAAAAACATTTTTTTAAAATCATTACAACAAGAAAAATTCTTACCCTGGCCAGTATTTTTGGATCTGCGGCTACTACTTGTGATAGGCACTTCATAGCTCTCGTTCGGACTGCGACTGCTGTTTCATTCAATACCCTCAAGATCTGAAGAAAAACAAATAACAGGATTTTCTTTTACCTAAAAAAAACTTGATATGGCAACTGCTGTTTCATTTAATACCCTTGCCAAGGTCTATGTAGAGAAACAAAAAATAATTTTTTTCTTTCTTAGGTAACTAGACATGGCACTTGTTTGAATGTACAAGTATTTTCAAAGAATTAGTTATGGTGCTTGTCGAAAAATGAAATGAAATGTTCAGCAGCATAAGAATACATTAAAATGACTTTGGTTTGAAAGGAGTACATCATTTAATACAGTTACACATGGGATTTGCCTTTGTTATAAACTTTCTTTGGACAACTTTGAATATCACCTTCACTAATTCACACTTACATTAAAGGACAACTCATAGAAAATCATGAACACATGCTGCTGGCCAAATGCACACAAACATTACTAGGCAAAAGCAAGAAGGCAAACTTCTAATGCATCACATATTTCATTATCTTTGCTTGAAACTTTACCATATAATTCAAGGTAAAATTTTCTTTTAACACATAAATGATCAACGTTTTTGCTGGAAACGCTTAGTTTGTTAATAATGTTTTAAAACAGATTAACTTATGAATTCAGGCAAGGATGAGAGCTTTGAAAAGATACTTACTTGTGTAAGATAGATATCAAAACTCTGTGAGAATGGTCTTCTTGACGCAAGGTACCTCACTACAAAGGCGGCACTCTCGTACGTGATGATGTTCCTTCCTTTCCTGTATGGTAAACATTAGAAAGGAAAGGTTGAGGATGATAAATAATAATAATGAATTTATATTCCAAGGCGCACAATTTGATTATTACCCCGGCTTTAGCCTAGCTGCCATTACGGCGCTGCCAGGTCCTGCCAGGTAAGTTTTGGCTAAAGTAATTAAGGGGAAGACTGCCTTCTTTGCCTACACATCATGCATCAGCTAGATAAGCAGGACAAAATAGAGAGTTCTCATTTCATCATAGATACATACAAACATCTAAATGTTCACTATCACAAAGGCCAACTTCAGACTTATAATCATCCCTAATACTTTCACTTTCTAAAATTCAAAACTTATCAATAAACATTATCCACATCAATATTATTTTCTCCAAATCCTCACTCATTTGGCCTTCTGATTTTTCTGCTTTTCACGTCAAGAAAGTTACTACAATAATGTTAGGATTGCCTTTCGAAGAGAGTGTTTAGTACCTTTTCATATGGTATAAACATTTCCCTCCTTCATAACCATTTCTTATTCCTGTTATACTAGGGCCCCGATTACAAGCAGTCTTGCTTCTCAGGGGCCCGGGCCATTATTAATTTTATGTTGTTGTTCTTTGGTATTATTCTTCTTTTGTATTGATATTTTGTATATTTTGTTGTTTTTAAATGGTCAATAAATGAAATTAAATTATAAGGAAGCTAATTATCGTTAATGGCAATATTGTATATGTGGAGCCCCACAGAATACCCCCCCCCCCCCTATTTTTTGTATATCTTTGACTATGTATGTATGACACAAGTATATTTCTAGCCCCCATATAGTCCCTCCTCTTAGTTAATTAGGTACCCCCTCCTGCGAGAGTGGCCTCACCCACAACTAACCTAAACACACCAGCTGGGATACCAGGAGTGGCTTCTCACTTTGTTTTTGCCACGCATCTCAGTCAACACCTTTCTTATTTTGTCTTCCTTTAATAGGTAAGAAAGAATCTTATATTATTCAATTGTGTTATATTCTTGTTGTTCATAATATGTGTATTTCTAAACTATTAGCTTCACTATTCACATATCTTGTATTACTGTGTAAAAAGAGATATTAATGATCTTTGCCAATGACTTGTTGGATTATATGACATGTGGACTATGAGAGGAAATATAAGAAATGCCATGTGGGAAGAGATGCCATGTGAGGAGAGATAATGTCATTGATGAACATAGTAATCACTTGTAGAAATGATAGGAAAGTATTATCGTGTGTGTGAGATTGATGATTATGTTGTTTGATTTAGACAACATTTTAAGTAAGTTTTGAGAAGAGAATATACTTTATTACTGTCAGTATATTTGTCTTTTGCTCAATATTCATGTGTATATATATATTCTTTGCCAAGGACATGTGCCATTTACTATGCATTATGCCAAAGCACATTGTTATATATTTATAGTTTGGTTAGATACAGTTTAATAGCGAAATGGGTTGTTCGAGTCCAGATTATCTTTAACTTTCAGTATTATGGTATGAGTGAGTGTGGACGCACCATGTGTATAATATTAGTGTGTTATTAGGTTATGGCAGTGCGTTCAATGTGAACACAACTTCTTATCAGAGTTCTTAATCCCCTCTCCCCCAAGCTTGACCATCCACTGCAATGCATTACACGCACACAGTGTAGATAGAGTATATGCTATACCCAAATGCTATGTTGAGAAGTGTTAGAGATAGAATGTGTTTGCTTTTTGACCCATGCTGGAAAATGGTATCTTAGGCAGGAATGAAAGTTTGGTAGAGTCAGCAAAATGAGAAGACAAAGGATTTGAGTTGGGGAATACACTTGTTGAGAAACACATGGTCAAATTGTCTAATAGTTAGCTAGTGATGGATGGGTTGATGAAATATTGTAGTTGAAGACTTGCATAATCACTGTCGGGAATTCATTGTATTATATTGTTAGGAATGATAATTCAGGTTAAATGTGATTGGGAATTACTCTCTCTCTCTCTCTCTCTCTCTCTCTCTATATATATATATATATTATCTCTCTCTCTCTCTCTCCCCCCCTCTCTCTTTATATCCTCTCCCTCTCTTTCTCTCTTTCTCTCTCTCTCTCTCTCTCTCTGTAAGGTTCACCCTTCCTCTTTCACTCTCACTTTGCTTTGTATATAACCATGAAATGAATATACATGTATTTAGTAAAACTATTGGTTGTTGATATAGATTAGAATATGAACTATGTATGTGTAGATGAGATTACAGTTAGAGGAAATCGTAATGGGTTGTAAGTTTGCTAAAGCTATATAATTAGTGCAGACTGCAGACTAAGACTATTTGCCAGTTTTGTGAATATTGTAAGGAGTTTAGGATATAAGTTGTTGAAGATGTATCTTTTCAAGCTCAGTAGTCTCGCTGAAAAAGATAGTATTAGATCAAAGTGATGCAGATGACTATTGGAAAATACATGAGCTATAGTTAAGGAAGAGTTATAAGTTTATTCAGTATTAATGTGAAGTCCTGAGACAAGAAGTAACTTGTGAATTTAGGGATTAGTGAAGGCTGAGAGTAGAATTACATTCTAAGGGTCCATGTGCACAAGGGATCCTCAGTCTTGGAGCGTAAAGAGTAGAAAGCTTATTAGGCAATAGTATAGGGATGATTATGCCAACATTCTTGTATTAGGTCTATATATGTGATTTCTTGAAAGAGACGCTAAGTGAAGAGTTATATGATTAGAAGCTAAAGTAGATTGACTGATACCGCAATGTTATAGACATTTGATAAGGGTTAAGTTATTTATTAGTAGCCAAGTTATGATTATGAGATCGATGAAGAGTTGCACTTTTACATAAAGCATGGAAGTAAGGATAGTTTCGTTTAGAGATAGTAAAGTAATGAAACTAACCAGATGATGTTCTTAGTGATATAGTAAGAGAACACGGAGAGCTAATGAATTCAATGTATGCGAACAGGTAGATTTATTTGTGTTTAATACTTGAAGAGTATTGTTAATGTTATGCCATTTGATCGTATATATGTTATTGTAAGAAAAGACTGTTATTGTAGAAGATTAAGTAATAAAGACTTTGTTTTGCCATGCATCCTAGTCAACACTTTTCTTATTTTGTCTTCCTTTAATAGGTATGCCCCCCTCCCTCGGGGTGTGGGCGCTACAAATTTGGCGACCTTGCCAGGACGGCCATCGTCGAAGAGACACGAGGACGATGTGCTGTCCTATGACACGAACAGTTGGATCAATCGACAGAGAAGAGCAGCGAGCAAACGATACAGGACCAGAAGACAGAGTGACGGAGAGAACCTGATTTGACAATGACATTGGCTCAGCATCAGAGAGAATGGGACAAGCTGCAGAGAGGAGAAAAGGCTACTACGAGCGTGCAGTATGCAGCAGGGTGCTACAGCAAGGAGATATGGTTCTGGTGCGAAGTCTGGCCCCTCCAGGTGGCCAAGGGAAGCTTCACCCTTACTGGGAGGAAATAGATGGCGGAGCAGTGAGTGGAGTCAAGGATGTCCAGGGGTTCTCCAAGCCGCCACCCTCAACAGCCCAGCCACGGCCTGCACCGTTCCAGTACCGGTATGACCCACCATTCTACCTCCCCATCAAAGGCCATTACAGATGCAGACGCAGTAGCCCACCAGCAACCAACCCACTACCAACGTCATATGACAGAAGAACAGCTTCAATTTTCCTAGCGAGCGAGTCAATCATTGAGGAATGCCTCAAACAGATTCTTTTTTTTTACAGTAGATGCATCGATGTATAGAATCATGTGTGTTGTTTAGTAAACCTGATATAGGAGTGACGCGAAGAATTAGGATGAAGCAAGTTGTTAATCATTTCAGGAATGGTGGTGTAATATAAAGAAGCAAGCGAATAAAGAAACAAGCGATGACACGCGATTGTGATCTGTTGATCTAAGTGATAAAGTCTTTGGAATGACTCGAGACGTTCCCAAGAAACCCTCACCGTATGTCAGATACGTCCATGGAATGGATTTTGCTTGTGATGTTTATGTTTCGCAAAGTTGATTTGTATGGAAAGGAAAAGCCACATAGTTATGATATGATTTTATGATAGGTAATGCTGAGACTTCGAGAGCCTATTAGGTCGCTAAACCGATTCGCAACACGTGGATGAACTCGATGTGCAACATGTATTTCACAGAGGAATTGGAGCACGATGATTTGTGAGCGTAGCATTGACATGGACTATAAACAATCATGGACTTAGTTGATACATTACATCTGTACTTCATGGCGACATTGAACGAGAACTATATGAACGTTAAAAATGTTATACTATAATCATGAATTATTGATGTAAATGTTTGGAAGTTGAAATGTCCAGGAGACATTTATTTTTGGAGGGGAAGGTGTGGAGCCCCACAGAATACCCCCCCCCCCCTATTTTTTGTATATCTTTGACTATGTATGTATGACACAAGTATATTTCTAGCCCCCATATAGTCCCTCCTCTTAGTTAATTAGGTACCCCCTCCTGCGAGAGTGGCCTCACCCACAACTAACCTAAACACACCAGCTGGGATACCAGGAGTGGCTTCTCACTTTGTTTTTGCCACGCATCTCAGTCAACACCTTTCTTATTTTGTCTTCCTTTAATAGGTAAGAAAGAATCTTATATTATTCAATTGTGTTATATTCTTGTTGTTCATAATATGTGTATTTCTAAACTATTAGCTTCACTATTCACATATCTTGTATTACTGTGTAAAAAGAGATATTAATGATCTTTGCCAATGACTTGTTGGATTATATGACATGTGGACTATGAGAGGAAATATAAGAAATGCCATGTGGGAAGAGATGCCATGTGAGGAGAGATAATGTCATTGATGAACATAGTAATCACTTGTAGAAATGATAGGAAAGTATTATCGTGTGTGTGAGATTGATGATTATGTTGTTTGATTTAGACAACATTTTAAGTAAGTTTTGAGAAGAGAATATACTTTATTACTGTCAGTATATTTGTCTTTTGCTCAATATTCATGTGTATATATATATTCTTTGCCAAGGACATGTGCCATTTACTATGCATTATGCCAAAGCACATTGTTATATATTTATAGTTTGGTTAGATACAGTTTAATAGCGAAATGGGTTGTTCGAGTCCAGATTATCTTTAACTTTCAGTATTATGGTATGAGTGAGTGTGGACGCACCATGTGTATAATATTAGTGTGTTATTAGGTTATGGCAGTGCGTTCAATGTGAACACAACTTCTTATCAGAGTTCTTAATCCCCTCTCCCCCAAGCTTGACCATCCACTGCAATGCATTACACGCACACAGTGTAGATAGAGTATATGCTATACCCAAATGCTATGTTGAGAAGTGTTAGAGATAGAATGTGTTTGCTTTTTGACCCATGCTGGAAAATGGTATCTTAGGCAGGAATGAAAGTTTGGTAGAGTCAGCAAAATGAGAAGACAAAGGATTTGAGTTGGGGAATACACTTGTTGAGAAACACATGGTCAAATTGTCTAATAGTTAGCTAGTGATGGATGGGTTGATGAAATATTGTAGTTGAAGACTTGCATAATCACTGTCGGGAATTCATTGTATTATATTGTTAGGAATGATAATTCAGGTTAAATGTGATTGGGAATTACTCTCTCTCTCTCTCTCTCTCTCTCTCTCTATATATATATATATATTATCTCTCTCTCTCTCTCTCCCCCCCCTCTCTCTTTATATCCTCTCCCTCTCTTTCTCTCTTTCTCTCTCTCTCTCTCTCTCTCTGTAAGGTTCACCCTTCCTCTTTCACTCTCACTTTGCTTTGTATATAACCATGAAATGAATATACATGTATTTAGTAAAACTATTGGTTGTTGATATAGATTAGAATATGAACTATGTATGTGTAGATGAGATTACAGTTAGAGGAAATCGTAATGGGTTGTAAGTTTGCTAAAGCTATATAATTAGTGCAGACTGCAGACTAAGACTATTTGCCAGTTTTGTGAATATTGTAAGGAGTTTAGGATATAAGTTGTTGAAGATGTATCTTTTCAAGCTCAGTAGTCTCGCTGAAAAAGATAGTATTAGATCAAAGTGATGCAGATGACTATTGGAAAATACATGAGCTATAGTTAAGGAAGAGTTATAAGTTTATTCAGTATTAATGTGAAGTCCTGAGACAAGAAGTAACTTGTGAATTTAGGGATTAGTGAAGGCTGAGAGTAGAATTACATTCTAAGGGTCCATGTGCACAAGGGATCCTCAGTCTTGGAGCGTAAAGAGTAGAAAGCTTATTAGGCAATAGTATAGGGATGATTATGCCAACATTCTTGTATTAGGTCTATATATGTGATTTCTTGAAAGAGACGCTAAGTGAAGAGTTATATGATTAGAAGCTAAAGTAGATTGACTGATACCGCAATGTTATAGACATTTGATAAGGGTTAAGTTATTTATTAGTAGCCAAGTTATGATTATGAGATCGATGAAGAGTTGCACTTTTACATAAAGCATGGAAGTAAGGATAGTTTCGTTTAGAGATAGTAAAGTAATGAAACTAACCAGATGATGTTCTTAGTGATATAGTAAGAGAACACGGAGAGCTAATGAATTCAATGTATGCGAACAGGTAGATTTATTTGTGTTTAATACTTGAAGAGTATTGTTAATGTTATGCCATTTGATCGTATATATGTTATTGTAAGAAAAGACTGTTATTGTAGAAGATTAAGTAATAAAGACTTTGTTTTGCCATGCATCCTAGTCAACACTTTTCTTATTTTGTCTTCCTTTAATAGGTATGCCCCCCTCCCTCGGGGTGTGGGCGCTACATATAAGTATATCTTTATCCTCACCTAATGGAACCAGAAGGTTTTTTGACCTTGATAGAATAAAGAAGAAACTTTTTCCTCTTCTCTGCTGCTCGTAAGATATCAGCTTTCTTGAGGTCATTGTCCCGAGCCTTCTCCTCTTCCTCCTCATCATCACTGTCCTCGTCGTCTTCGTCGTCATCGCTATCCTCATCGTCGCTGTCTTTCTTCTTCTTCTTGGACTGAGGTGCTTTCATGGTCTGTTCCACCTCGGCGTTGGTGTCCCGGTACCACTGGGCAAGAAAGAATTGCCTTGAAAACTGCAAGAGTGAATGAGAGAGCGAGAGAGAGAAAGAGAGAACCAAATAAATACGAGTGGAATCGACATATAACAAATATATTCCCAAAACACATGGACCCTTAGACACTTTAAAGGCAGACTGTACTAGTTCAGCCAGAAGGGATTAGACCACACAGCGAGGTCACTGACAGGTGGCTATCTCATTAACTCAGCTCTCAATTAACATAAGAAAAAGAGGATTAGGGGGGACCAACAAGCACTGATTGGGGAAGTTTTCTATATAGAGGGAGCAAACAGCTACAAGTAGTACAGTGTGGCTAAAAACAAGAAAGGGAAAGAGTTAGAAAGAGGAAGGGGAGAGGTGAGCGGGAGGTGGGGGGGGGGGGGAGAAGGAAGGAAAAGGAGAGATAAAGAGAGAGAGACAAAAAGAGAGAAAGAGAGAGAAAGAGAGAGACAGAGAGAGAAAGAGAGAGATGGAGAGAGACAGAGAGGGAGAGAGAGACAGAGAGAGAGAGAGAGAGAGAGGGAGACAGAGACAGAGAGAATGAATACATAAGTTCAATATACGAAATGATAAACAGAAGTTCAATATACATAATGATATGTACCTAAAAATAAAAATAACAAAATTACAAAGATATGACCAAATGATGACATCTAAGTCAGTTCCAAGCAGATCATTTGCCTTTCTTACCAAGATTGCTGGATCATTGCGACTGTTGTAGCTGAGGTAGTCTACCATAGCCTGTTGTAGGTTCATGACATAGTCCAGTTTGTCACATGGCTTTCCATCTCCAACTGGGGACTCTCTACCTCCCCTCATCTACAAGAGAAGAAATGATATCAAATAAGCATATTTCTTTGAATATACAATAATAACAATGAACTCGATAACAATGCTACCACTTAATCCGATATTTTCTACACTAGCCGTATTGTTTAAAATATAAACAGTTTTTTTTTTCGGTACAGCATATGTAACACATTGGTTCTGTGAACATGATTTTAGCAAGGGATTACCCATACTCATCACTTAGAAAACGTGAAAACCTGAAATAAATCTCATTTATTTTGGGCAGCGCAATACCAGTGAAAACGATTGGGGTGAGAAATAATTCTATTATCATCAACACTTGTAGGTTATTAACGCAACTTTCATACTTTATTTTCAATGTCCACTAGCAAAAAAGAAAAAGAAAACACAATGAACACTAATAAAAGACCAACACAATAAATAAAATTGAATTTGCTCCAAGCCTTTTGAGTAGTTTAAGAATGATTTATGCACCACTTCATTCCCGAGGGGACTTTGTTAAATAATAGCTATACAACAAATAAATATATGGAAAACATTGTAAATTCTTTACACGGTTGAATCAAAGCTCTTGTAACAATAAGCCAGATTCTTCCCTATAATGGGCGACTTTTGTAATGTAATCAAATTTAATGCTTGAATGTTTGCCGAGTGCCTCGTTTCAAATAATTGTATTTTAACCCCCCCCCCCCCCCCCCCCCCCCCCGGGTAAAAACCTGGTCTAAAATAACCAGGTTAAAATAGGGTTAATAGTCGGTGTGCAATTGCATACATTAGGTGTTGTTAGGTAGGACAAGCCATAATAGCAACAACTTAAGTATGCAATTTGCATACTGAATATTGAAATGTGATGAAGGAGACTGAAATAATTTGTAACGAGGCACTTAGAAAATATTTGAGCATTAAATTTCATTACATCATGGAAATGGCCTGTTGGGCATGTAAATCTTCCTATTACCTCTCTGACGATGGTGTTGAGCCTATCTTCATCCATCACACTTGATATAGCATCTTTCCTCAGTCTGCTCGCCACCTGGCCAAGATACTCAAGGGAAGACACTCTCATCGACATCTCATTCGAGCGATTACTGAACTGGTGCATCTGAAAATTTGTCAAACAGAAACAGAAACATTCATGACAAAAAAAGTAAAAGAAACAAATGATAATGAAATCATAATAACTGATTTCCCATATCAGAGGAACTAGTATTAGGCAAGCATTTAATCGCTAAATGAATTATTATCTCAGAAAGTGGGCCAATACTATCAAACAATATTCATCAAATTTTCTGTCCCTTATAATGAAATTACACAAGACCCAAATCTAAGTAAATACGTCAAATAAACTTCCTGAAACTTCCTTTAATAAAGACATTATTGCAAATAATATTTTGCTCTCTATATATCCTTTATTTGCAAATCATTCGAAATAATAATACTATGAAACCAGTAACTTTCACACATATGAAGTTTTAGCCGATTGTATGAGTGGGAAATTTTCGCAAAATTTTCATGCCACAAATCAATTGAATAATTATTGACAAAACACTGACTGTTTGCAATCTTGAAAGTTTTCTCGCAAATATCACTGTTGTTTCAAAATACATGGAAGTTTCATGTTGTAGAGGTGTCTGATTTAACAATGTATAAGTATTGTTATCATGAGATTGGATTTCAAATACAAATAAAAACACACACAGATAGATAACAATGGTAGAAAGAATGTACACAGAGTCAAAGAAACTGTCGCGTCTGATACATAAAGATATGAATAACAAAGTGCATCCTTCTATACACAAAGCCGTGAGGATCGGTCGATACAGAACAAGAAATCAAACATACCAGCAATCTCCCGAGTAGACTGAGAAGAAGTTCTGATGCTGGCCATTCAGGCTTGTTGACTGCTGACAGCAGATCTTGAACAAAGTTCTCAAAGAGCGGCCTGTAGTCTTCCTCGTCCTTGCTGACACACCTAAGACAACAAAACAGATGGTATGAACGCTTGGTATCAAGGTGTCTAGGGGGGTGTTTCACAAAGATCCTAAGTTGAACTTATCTCTAAGTTGGACTTAACAATTGTGGAAAGCTGTTAGCATCTATGAAAATATTTAGTAAAAGTTATTTGAAAAGGCATAAAATGTTGTTTCAAATCATTCAAATTTTCTATTATCAAGGAGATTTTATGTTCTTGATATTGAATTTATATAAAGTCTAAAATACTTGAATTTTCGCTTTTGAATACATTTTATTTTAACCCTTACTGTACTGGGGGGGGGGGGGGCCTGGGAGGCCCCCCCCTCGACATTTTTGGAGATCGCGCCGCAACCGCTCGGAATTTTGAATTGTCGTTTCATGACTTTTTTCCTTCAAGTCTTACGCACATTTTGATACCATTTTCGTCGAAATCGGATATACCTGTAAGGTGTTACATAACAATTAGTATGCGCATGTCATCAAAAAAGTGCTATAATTGCATATATTCATGTACAAGCAGAAATGTGAAGATATGAATTGATATCAAATTGCTTTTATATGTTTCTCAAAGTAACTTGATGTATTTCAGAACAAAAGAATACATTAGAAATAAAACAATAGATATAATAACAAATAAAAAACAATGAAATACATAAGAAAATAAAAAGTTGAAAATCGCATCAAATTTGCATAAATTATCATTATTAATTACATCAAATAACTATTTTTTGTGTTAGAAAAGAAGTTTCATATGAATAATGAGTTTCAACATAACAAAAGTGGAGTCTGACAATTTTTGTAATGATTCTAGTTCCCTGTTTATTACCAGATTAGATATTCATGAATGCGTAATTTGCGTATTCATAATTTATGCAAATTAACCTATGCATTTTCAAATATCATTAGAATAATGACACCTCATGAATTTGAGATGAAGGAAACATTTATTCAATACATTTTCAAGATTCTTCACAAGTCTACGGACAAATATGTAGAGTTTTTTGTAAAATGCATAAAATAAGCATTTTCCATAATTAATTAGGCTATAACGACAAAAATTTGCATATTAGGAAAAAACTAATTATACCTTCTTGTTCCTTACATAAATATCTACAATCATGCAAATTTTCGCGTTCATCGGACATTCGACGGCCGAGATCATAGGGGGGGGGGCCTCCGAGGCCCCCCCCCAGTCAGAGAGTGCTCGAAATAGCCCAGTACAGTAAGGGTTAAGGCTACAAATGGCTCTCCATAAGTCCAACTTAGGATCTTTGTGAAACACCCCCAGGTCTAGTGGATACGTCACCAGACTGTGAATCACATGGTTCACGGTTGAGTCCCGCCATGGCACTGATGTCCTTTGACAAGACATTAATCTACATTTGCCACCCTCCACCCAGGTGTAGTAAATGGATTCCTGGTAGGAATATGTATGTAGTGAATGCTTTAAGCACGTTAAGGCAGCTGGGCTAAAGCCATGGTAATAAATAATACTACTCCTTTGGACTAGCAAAATGCGGGGAAATTGTGAAAAAAATGTCCAAAACCTCTTTAGTATCTTCAAATCATAAACATGGATTTGCACATATGGGGCTAGGTATAGTATTACAATAAAACTTTGATCCAATGAATCAGTAACTGATGGAAGCACTTACTTTTTCAAGAAGACCGAGAGAAAGTTCTGCCCTGTTCTCACTGCTGTCTCATAGGCATTGACTACTAGCACACCTTGGTCCGTCTGTTTTGAACGTGAAGGATAAAAGGTTGCATTAAAAAACAGGCAATCAAATTGAACACAAGGTGAGATTTCTTCCACATTTGTCACTCATTATCTATCATACAAGTATTCAAAGTCAAAGAAAAATCAAATGTAACATGTAATATATTAACTGCTTTAACTTGTTAGTTACACTCAACTAAATTTACTTGTTGACAAGAGCATTTGCTTTGTAATTTGAACCAATTTCTGAACAGACAGCTGTTCACAGCTTTTAACAAATGCATAATGATCCTCATTTATTCAACTTAATTATCATCTGATGAAGTTTTGAATTCCTTTTTTGATTCATTCCTCTGACTTACAAATTAACAAACACAAAAAGCTATTTAATATGAAAATACAGAAAATGAAAGCCCATAAAAATGTATTTTTGAATTCTTTCATCAAGGAAGGAGAGGGGGGGGGGGGGAATCCAACGACATTGACTGTCTCTGAAGCCTCAGAGTTACATTGTAATAACATTTATTAACCCTATTTTAACTGGGCTATTTCAGACCAGGTTTTTACTGGGGGGGGGGGGGGGGTCAATTTGACCCCCCCCCTAAGATCTCGGCCGTTTCACCGCCGATCGCCGCAAAAATTTGCATGCATGTCAAGTGAAGTGCATAGAATACTATGGTAATTTCAAATTTTTGAAAAATTCACTCATTTGCATATTTATGGTAATTTATGCAAATAAGGTCATCAAATTCACATTTCTGCCCATAAATCATAGATTATTCATGTTTACGTATTCTTTTTCACTACATATATTTATTAGACCTTTTGGAATAATAATACAACACAAAAAATTGGAAGAGCCAGGTTATTCCTTATGTTATCTCTTGTTTTTATAATTTCTTATGTATTTCATTGTTTTTGTTGTTTTATTTCATTTATAACTACAATTCAACTATTATGACCCCAAAAACAAACATCTAAACTTTAAACAAGACTGAATAACCAATGTTTTATCTATTTTTAGGAAAAATGACTTTTACATATGTTTTGTACACAAATCACGAAAATGAGCGATTTTCGGGCTGACATGCAAAGACAAAAGGTCACGTGACCTTGTAACCGTAAGTCCGATTTTCAAAAAAATCGTTTTAAAAGATGCATAAGACTCGAAAGTAAAAAGTCATGAAAGGAAAAATTTATATCTGTCGCGGTTTCGGAGTAGTCGCGAAATTTCTACAGGGGGGGGGGGGGGTCAAATTGACCCCCCCCCCTCAGTTAACGTAGGGTTAAGCCTGATATGCAATCTGATAAGGTTTAATTCCATTTTCATTAATGCAACCTTGTCTTAAATAAAGAAAGCACCAAGAAACAAAAATTGCTGGTTAAGAGCCAGACTGGTGTCAACTCTGTACCGATTCTCCGCAAACTATGCTTGAATTCTGAAACTAAGAATTTTCTGACGTACCTTTGAACCGTCATCATCAACATTATCATACTGATCCATTCCATCGCCATCTGGGGTCACGAACACAACTACACCTTGAATGAGTTGTAATACAAGAGCAGTCACCATCTGAATGTTGGTTGTGTTGTTCAGTCTGGATGGAAGGTAGAATAGAAACTAATGATCAATTCACCATAAAGGTGGAACATATTACATTAGATTTCCAAAACTATACCATGGCCACAATAAATGAAATTTACATAAACAGATTGATAGATAATGGACAGACAAATTGACAACCCAAAGATAAAATGGCTCTACTACCATAGTAACAGAAGCAAAAATCAAATCTGATTGGAGTAAAATACTGTTGCAACATAGAAAAAAGGTGATTGCTATCAAGTCCTTAACTAGTTAATTACCTTTTAATCTCAAACCTCTGGATTAAATTTCATTGATTTGAAAATTAAAATGAAGATTAGTTCGAAACTTGCACTTCAATGACCTATAATGGTCATTACAATTCAATTTTTGGAAGACACATGTTTGAGATGTTGTCCATAGTTTCACTGTGATTCTTTAATGGAATTCATCATTTACAGAAGAAGAAAAAAGTTTATCTACCTGAAGTTTCTGAGGTTCTTTTTACTCGATGGAAGTCTGGCAAGAGAGGCAAAGATATCCTCCAGGATGAGTTGTCTGTGTTTCTCGTACCTTGAGAATACCTGAAGAAGCAAGAAATTATATTTTAAAAACGTCAACTCATTATTGGAGACAGATCCTCCTTATTATACACATATTTCAATAATCCTATAAATGTGTAGCGCCCACACCCCGAGGGAGGGGGCATACCTATTAAAGGAAGACAAAATAAGAAAGGTGTTGACTGAGATGCGTGGCAAAAACAAAGTCTTTATTACTTAATCTTCTACAATAACAGTCTTTTCTTACAATAACATATATAAGATCAAATGGCATAACAATACTCTTCAAGTATTAAACACAAATAAATCTACCTGTTCGCATACATTGAATTCATTAGCTCTCCGTGTTCTCTTACTTTATCACTAAGAACATCATCTGGTTAGTTTCATTACTTTACTATCTCTAAACGAATCTATCCTTACTTCCATGCTTTATGTAAAAGTGCAACTCTTCATCGATCTCATAATCATAACTCGGCTACTAATAAATAACTTAACCCTTATCAAATGTCTATAACATTGCGGTATCAGTCAATCTACTTTAGCTTCTAATCATATAACTCTTCACTTAGCGTCTCTTTCAAGAAATCACATATATAGACCTAATACAAGAATGTTGGCATAATCATCCCTATACTATTGCCTAATAAGCTTTCTACTCTTTACGCTCCAAGACTGAGGATCCCTTGTGCACATAGACCCTTAGAATGTAATTCTACTCTCAGCCTTCACTAATCCCTAAATTCACAAGTTACTTCTTGTCTCAGGACTTCACATTAATACTGAATAAACTTATAACTCTTCCTTAACTATAGCTCATGTATTTTCCAATAGTCATCTGCATCACTTTGATCTAATACTATCTTTTTCAGCGAGATTGCTGAGCTTGAAAAGATACATCTTCAACAACTTATATCCTAAACTCCTTACAATATTCACAGAACTGGCAAATAGTCTTAGTCTGCAGTCTGCACTAATTACTCTAACAAACTTACAACCAATATTACGAATTCCTCTTACTGTATAATCTCATCTTCACATACAGTTCATATTCACATTCTAAACAACAACCAATAGTTTACTGAATACATATTCATTTCATGGCAATACATAAAAAGTAATGTGGGAGTGAAAGAGAAAGGATAAACAATAGAGAGAGAGAGAGAGAGAGAAGGGAGAGAGAGAGAGAGAGAGAGAGAGGGGGGGGGGGGGGGGGGGGGGGGGGGGAGAGAGAGAGGGTAATTCCCAATAACATTTAACCTGAATTATCATTCCTAACAATATATTACAATGAATTTAACACTGTGATTATGCAAGTCTTCAGCTACAATATTCCATCAAACAATCCAACTCTAGCTAACTATTAAACAGTGTGACCATGTGTTTCTCAACAAGTGTATTCCCCAACATAAATCCTTTGTCTTCTCATTTAGCAATCTTGCTGACTCTACCAAACTTTCATTCCCGCCTAAGATACCATTTTCCAGCATGGGTCAAAAAGCAAACAAAGCTTGGGGGAGGGGATTAAGAACTTTGATAAGAAGATGTGTTCACATTGAACGCACTGCCATATCGTAATAACACACTAGTATTGTACACATGGTGCGTCCACACTCACTCATACCATAATACTGTAAGTTAAAGATAATCTGGACTTGAACAACTCATTTCGCTATTCAAACTGTATCTAACTCGAACTAGAATATATAACAATGTGCTTTGGCATAATGTATAGTAAATGGCACATGTCCTTGGCTAAGAATATATATATACACATGAATATGTAAGCAAAAGACAAATATACTGACAGTAATAAAGTATATTCTCTTCTCAAAACTTACTTAGAATGTTGTCTAAGTCAAACAACATAATCATCAATCTCACATACACACAGTAATAGTTTCCTATCATTACTACAAGTAATTACTATGCACATCAATGACATTATCTCTTCCCACATGGCATCTCTTATATTTCCACCCATAGTCCACATGTCATATAATCCAACATCTCATAGCCAAAGACCATTAATATCTCTTTTTATACAGTAATACAAGATATATGAATAGTGAAGTTATAATAGTTTAGAAATACACATATTATGAAGAACAAGAATATAACACAATTGAATAATAAGAGATTCTTTCTTACCTATTAAAGGAAGACAAAATAAGAAAGGTGTTGACTGAGATGCGTGGCAAAAACAAAGTGAGAAGCCACTCCTGGTATCCCAGCTGGTGTGTTTAGGTTGGTTGTGGGTGAGGCCACTCTCGCAGGAGGGGGTACCTAATTAACTAAGAGGAGGGACTATATGGGGGCTAGAAATATACTTGTGTCATACATACATAGTCAAAGATATACAAAAAAATAGGGGGGGGGGGGTATTCTGTGGGGCTCCACACCTTCCCCTCCAAAAATAAATGTCTCCTGGACATTTCAACTTTCAAACATTTACATCAATAATTCATGATTATAGTATAACATTTTTAACGTTCATATAGTTCTCGTTCAATGTCGTCATAAAGTACAGATCAGGGAGGTGAGACTTATCACCAAAGTCCATGAAAGTCTATGTCCTTGCCACGCTGACAGATCATCGTGCTCCAATTCTTCTGTGGAATACATGTAGTACATCGAGTTCATTAACGTGTTGCAAATCTTTATAGCGAAACCTAATAGGTACTTGAAGTCTCAGAATTACATATCATAATATCATATCAGAATTACGTGGCTTTTTCTTCCATACAAATAAACTTTGCGAAACATTAACCCATTCTACGGGCGCGCCTGACATACGGTGAAGGTTTCTTGGGAAGCTCGCGACTCATCCCGAAGACTTTATCACATAGATCAATTGATCACTATCGAGTGTCATCGCTTGTTTCCTTATATACCACAATTCATGAAACGATTTACAACTTGTTTCATCTTACTACTTCGCGTTACTCGTACTTCGGGTTTACTAAACACCTAGCACACATGATTCTAAATAACGATGCATCTAATATAAAACAAAATATTAAAAACAAAAAAGAATCCGTTTGAGGCCTTCCTCGCGGGTCGAATGATTGACTCGCTCGCTGGAAAAATTGAAGTTGGTCTTCTGTCATCTAACGCTGGTAGTGGGTTGGTTGCTGGTGGGCTACTGGCGTCTGTATCTGTAATGGCCTTTGATGGGGAGGTAGAATGGTGGGTCATACCGGTACTGGAACGGTGCAGGCCGTGGCTGGGCTGTTGAGGGTGGCGGCTTGGAGAACCCCTGGACATCCTTGACTCCACTCACTGCTCCGCCATCTATTTCCTCCCAGTAAGGGTGAAGCTTTCCTTGGCCACCTGGCGGGGCCAGACTTCGCACCAGGGCCCTATCCCCTTGCTGTAGCACCCTGCTGCATACTGCACGCTCGTAGTAGCCTTTTCTCCTCTCTGCAGCTTGTCCCATTCTCTCTGATGCTGAGCCAACCTCATTTCCAATCAGGGATGGTCTTCTCCGGCTCTCTGACTTCTGGTCCTTTTTATCCTAATCGTTACATCACTGCTTCTTCGATTATCCAACTGTTCGTGTCATAGGACGACACATCGTCCTCGTGTCTCTTCGACGATGGCCGTCCTGGCAAGGTCGCCAAATTTGTAGCGCCCACACCCCGAGGGAGGGGGCATACCTATTAAAGGAAGACAAAATAAGAAAGGTGTTGACTGAGATGCGTGGCAAAAACAAAGTCTTTATTACTTAATCTTCTACAATAACAGTCTTTTCTTACAATAACATATATAAGATCAAATGGCATAACAATACTCTTCAAGTATTAAACACAAATAAATCTACCTGTTCGCATACATTGAATTCATTAGCTCTCCGTGTTCTCTTACTTTATCACTAAGAACATCATCTGGTTAGTTTCATTACTTTACTATCTCTAAACGAATCTATCCTTACTTCCATGCTTTATGTAAAAGTGCAACTCTTCATCGATCTCATAATCATAACTCGGCTACTAATAAATAACTTAACCCTTATCAAATGTCTATAACATTGCGGTATCAGTCAATCTACTTTAGCTTCTAATCATATAACTCTTCACTTAGCGTCTCTTTCAAGAAATCACATATATAGACCTAATACAAGAATGTTGGCATAATCATCCCTATACTATTGCCTAATAAGCTTTCTACTCTTTACGCTCCAAGACTGAGGATCCCTTGTGCACATAGACCCTTAGAATGTAATTCTACTCTCAGCCTTCACTAATCCCTAAATTCACAAGTTACTTCTTGTCTCAGGACTTCACATTAATACTGAATAAACTTATAACTCTTCCTTAACTATAGCTCATGTATTTTCCAATAGTCATCTGCATCACTTTGATCTAATACTATCTTTTTCAGCGAGATTGCTGAGCTTGAAAAGATACATCTTCAACAACTTATATCCTAAACTCCTTACAATATTCACAGAACTGGCAAATAGTCTTAGTCTGCAGTCTGCACTAATTACTCTAACAAACTTACAACCAATATTACGAATTCCTCTTACTGTATAATCTCATCTTCACATACAGTTCATATTCACATTCTAAACAACAACCAATAGTTTACTGAATACATATTCATTTCATGGCAATACATAAAAAGTAATGTGGGAGTGAAAGAGAAAGGATAAACAATAGAGAGAGAGAGAGAGAGAGAAGGGGAGAGAGAGAGAGAGAGAGAGAGAGGGGGGGGGGGGGGGGGAGAGAGAGAGGGTAATTCCCAATAACATTTAACCTGAATTATCATTCCTAACAATATATTACAATGAATTTAACACTGTGATTATGCAAGTCTTCAGCTACAATATTCCATCAAACAATCCAACTCTAGCTAACTATTAAACAGTGTGACCATGTGTTTCTCAACAAGTGTATTCCCCAACATAAATCCTTTGTCTTCTCATTTAGCAATCTTGCTGACTCTACCAAACTTTCATTCCCGCCTAAGATACCATTTTCCAGCATGGGTCAAAAAGCAAACAAAGCTTGGGGGAGGGGATTAAGAACTTTGATAAGAAGATGTGTTCACATTGAACGCACTGCCATATCGTAATAACACACTAGTATTGTACACATGGTGCGTCCACACTCACTCATACCATAATACTGTAAGTTAAAGATAATCTGGACTTGAACAACTCATTTCGCTATTCAAACTGTATCTAACTCGAACTAGAATATATAACAATGTGCTTTGGCATAATGTATAGTAAATGGCACATGTCCTTGGCTAAGAATATATATATACACATGAATATGTAAGCAAAAGACAAATATACTGACAGTAATAAAGTATATTCTCTTCTCAAAACTTACTTAGAATGTTGTCTAAGTCAAACAACATAATCATCAATCTCACATACACACAGTAATAGTTTCCTATCATTACTACAAGTAATTACTATGCACATCAATGACATTATCTCTTCCCACATGGCATCTCTTATATTTCCACCCATAGTCCACATGTCATATAATCCAACATCTCATAGCCAAAGACCATTAATATCTCTTTTTATACAGTAATACAAGATATATGAATAGTGAAGTTATAATAGTTTAGAAATACACATATTATGAAGAACAAGAATATAACACAATTGAATAATAAGAGATTCTTTCTTACCTATTAAAGGAAGACAAAATAAGAAAGGTGTTGACTGAGATGCGTGGCAAAAACAAAGTGAGAAGCCACTCCTGGTATCCCAGCTGGTGTGTTTAGGTTGGTTGTGGGTGAGGCCACTCTCGCAGGAGGGGGTACCTAATTAACTAAGAGGAGGGACTATATGGGGGCTAGAAATATACTTGTGTCATACATACATAGTCAAAGATATACAAAAAAATAGGGGGGGGTATTCTGTGGGGCTCCACAAATGCATTTATTGACAAAAGGCTGTGAGTGAAGAAAGTGTCAAAAAATAAAATTACAAGAATAAAAACAATAAAACAACCAAACTAAAAACACACACATTTAAGAGTGAAAGGGCTGTTAATATTCACAATACACTTTACCAGTTAGATTAAATTTACAGCAACATTCAGCGAAATAACATATACAGTTAACAAAATTCTTCATACCCTTACCAAGTTTTGTAATTATTTAAGTATGTGAAAAATTGATTTGTTCAAATTTAAGTTTCTTGAGAATGGTGAAAATGGAAAATTGTCTTATATTAGATTTTTTTCTATACTTACAGCAGCGATCAGCTTCAGAGAGTTGAGTTGAAGTTCACTGACATTCTCAACAAAGAAAGGCGCAGTGCCCATTGAAGAAATCTATCAGAAAATAAACTAGATGGAATTCGACTGCGCGCAGTCGAAAATGATGCCTCCGTCATAGAGCAATTTTACAAACCAAAACAGAAGACATTTTTCGAATTCAAGTTCAATTGTAATCCATTAACAGGTTCTCAGAATATCGTGATTACAAGCAATTTCTCATATACATATATGACCCTTTGATCTTTGACCTCATGACCCTAAAATCTACTCAGTTCATTGGCTCTGCAAGATGTCCTGAGTTAAATAGTAATCCATCTGTCAGTTCTAATGAGAATGTGTTCACAAGCTATTTTTGCATACATAATGAGCCCATGACCTTTGACCTTTGATCTTATGAACCAAAAATCTACTCAGTTCATTGGCTCTGCAAGTAACATACATGACCTAATTTTGGCAGGAATCCATCAATCGGTTCTTGAGAACACGATCACGAGCTGTTTTTGCATACATAATGTGCGTTGTGGCCTTTGACCTTTGACCTCATGACCCCAAAATCTAATCAGTTCATCTGCTCTGCAAGTAACATACATGACCTAAGTTTAGCAGCAATCCATCAATCGGTTCTTGAGATAACGCAATCACGAGCTGTTTTTGCATACATAATGTGCGCTGTAGCCTTTGACCTTTGACCTCGTGACCCCAAAATCTAATCACTTCATCGGTTCTGCAAGTAACATACATGACCTAAGTTTGGCAGCAATCCATTACTCGGTTCTTGAGATAACGCGATCACGAGCTGTTTTTGCATACATAATGAGCCCTGTGACCTTTGACCTTTAACCTCATGACCCCAAAATCTAATCAGTTCTTTGACTCTGCAAGATACATACATGACCAAAGTTTGGCAGGAATCCATCAATCGGTTCTTCAGATAACGCGATCACGAGCTGTTTTTGCATACATAATGAGCCCTGTGACCTTTGACCTTTGACATCGTAACCCCAAAATCTAATCAGTTCATCGGCTCTGCAAGATACATACATGACCAAAGTTTGGCAGGAATCCATCAATCGGTTCTTCAGATAACGCGATCACGAGAACGGGACGTACGTACGTACGTACAGACGTACGTACGTACAGACGGACGGACGGACAACCCGAAAACATAATGCCTCCGGCTACTTCGTAACGGAGGCATAAAAATAACTATAATCATTAGGTCATTGTCACTGATTTCATTTATTAACTATATGGAGAAGAAAAAAAGGCTGAAGGATT